AAGTCATCTTTATCAGTTTCTTTTTCTTGGACTGATTGATTTTCAAGATTTACTAAACTTTTCGTTTCATCCGTTTTCCATAGTTAAAGAACCAGCTTTTAAAAAGTTTGCAGGGTGGATTCCTGGATATAAACCGCCAACAAGAAAAACTTTGTCAGGTTCATTACTTCAGGAATGTTATGTCAAAAGTGAGCAAATTATTAAATCGCAAGTTGTTAAAGAAGTAGAAAATATCTGTATTACTACTGACCTCTGGACATCTGGAGTAACTGAGAGTTACTTCGCATTAACAGGACGATTTAACACAGGACAATAGTTTTTATGTCAATTTAGACTATTCGCGATTTAATAATAACGTGTAATGTAAATGTAAGTCCGATTTACTATTTGTATTGTTTAGTTTAGAACAGAATATTTAAAACAGAATATTTAAAAATTGGAGGAAATACCACAGATCTGAGGCTTGAAAACGCAGTCATAAAAGGCTGCAACCAGTATAAATATCTAGGAAGCATCATATCAGCAGATGGCAGAGTTAAGATAGATGTACAAAACCGAATAACCCAAGGGAAAAAATGCATCCGAATACTGAATTCATTACTGTGGTCTAATAAAATAAAGATGCATACCAAACTTCGCGTATACAGAGCAATTGTAGAACCAATTACCACATATGGTGCCGAATGTTGGACGATGACAAAGAATGAACGAGATAAAGTAGACGTTGTGGAAATGGATTATCTTAGAAGGTCATGTCGAGTATCGAGAATGGAAAGAATCAGGAATGAGGAAATACGAAACCGTACAGGAATTAGAGATACTCTTTCAGATAGAATACAAGGAAGGCAATTACAATGGTATGGTCACGTGATGAGAATGGAGGAGGAGCGGTGGCCAAAGAAAGCCTTAATGTATGTTCCGCCAGAAAGAAGGAAAAGGGGAAGACCACCAAATTCCTGGAGAAGAGAAATTACAAAAACAATGCAATCTAGAGGCTTAGAAGAGGGAGATTGGGGAGATAGGAAAAGATGGAGGCTGAAATGCGGGAAGCGGCAATCGCCGTAGGACCCCCGTTATATGATGATGATGATTGTTTAGTTTATTTTTCAAGTTATAATAAATATATCATTAGGTAGTTTCTTTCACTTCAAAAGATATACACATAAACGATAATAGCCGTTATGTTTGTTTATGTAGGTACTATCTTACTTGAAACTACTTTTAAACAATCATAGTTACTTGTTTATGAAAATTAAAATTTTTAAATGCTTTTTAGCATTCAAAAAAATTTAAATTTTTTTGCAATCCTGAGAAAACTAACAAATATTTTTGAAAAATTTAAATGCAGAATGAAAGATTACATTATTACCGAGGGCCGAAGGTCCCTTAGAATAAACAAAAAGTTTTTTTAATGAGATATTTGAAATTAAAAATCACACTAAATTTTGTTTTTTTTTTTCATCCCTATAACTTATTAAAATAAACATTATAGAAGTTTTCAGGGACTTTCAGCTCTCGGTAATAATGTATTGTTTCATTCTGCGTTTAATTTTTTCAAAAATATTTATTAGTTTTCTCAGGATTCGAAAAAAATGAATGCATTTAAAAAACATTCGCCCGAAATTTTGCACCTACGCTCTTAACGATAAACTAGCACGACCCACCTCTACTTCTCGTTACTCGATCTTTTGACCAGACGAATATCTAGACTAGACGTTGCCAAATAAATTAGTGTATGAATATTTTTTAATTTGGCGTTATTGTATGCATGTTTAATTGTTTATTATTTCATATTGGGAAATTATTTTGATGTTTAGATTTTTAGTTCGGAAATCGTACTTAAAATACGAAACATTAATAAATTTTATTTATATAAAACGATTTCCGAAATGGAAATCAAAATGTTATATTACAATTATTGTAAAGAAAACTTGTGGCATATTCCCAATAAAAAAAACAGTAACCTGCCATTTAAATCAATTTCGCCCAAATTTGATTATCTTGAGCATTTTATCTTCTTGATAGAACATTGTTCAAATGCAAAAAAAGACAAGAGGTCAAATAAAACCAATAAGTTTGGCAACGTTGAATTTCCCCTTTTTTAATATTTCCATTCGGCGATATAAAGGGCGTACCTAATATACCTCTCTCTTTTTAAACAGCTGTTTCTCACTCCATCTCACGTAAGGTCCATACCGACCATAAAATTTTTCCTACACTGTATATGGTGTTCCATTTTCAGATAGTTGCAAGCCACTATTTAAGAAGTTTAATATTTTAACACTACCTAGCCTTTTAATTTTCCAATTAATATTGCACATTGAGGAAAACAAGCTCAAGTTTGTCAGAAATGAGGACATTCACTCACATGATACCAGGGGTAAATCAAATTTTCGACAACCTTTCTCTAGATTAGGTGTATCCCAACATGCACCTGAATATATTGGAATAAAATGTTACAATAAAATAGTCAATATATTAACTCTCAGTAATTCTTCACATAAAGGTTTTCGCCAAACTGTGTATTCGTTTTTAATGGACAACACATTCTACAGTGTTGATGGATTTTTAAATTTTTAACATTTTTGCAACAATAGTTCTAAATTTGTATTTGTAACTTTTATTTCTTATTTATTTTATTGTAATAACTGTTTTATTTTAATCATGTGTACTTTTGCTATATATTGTACTCTTTTGTACTAAAATTTTTGACTAGTCTGATAAGATTTATACATTTTTTTTCTTGTAAAAATTGTGTAAACTTTGTGGATGAATAAATTCTATCTATCTATCTAAGTTCAGTTCGAGCTTCAAATGAGATTCCAGCTCAAACCATGATATCACCACTACCAAACTTTCTTCTCTGCGACATACAAGCTTGGGCATATCTTCCATTTTTCCGTCTCTAAACCCTCTCTCGGATATCGCCAGACTTCAAACAGAACAGCGATTCATCAGTAAAGAGAATTCAGCTCCAATCCTGTATATCCCAGTGTTGATGTGGTCGAGCAAAAATTAATTAATTCCTACAGTTTCTGGGTTGTTAAAGTTCGGGAACAATAGTCGGCCTTCTTGCGGCGTGTTTTAATAGTTCCATCGCTTACATTTACATTTCAAACCTCCTGTACACCGTTTCTTGCAGCAATTACAGTGGAATGGCGAATTAGAAGCTCCATCACTATAAAACGATCATCTCTTTGAGAGGAAACGCATCTACGATAGGAACCAGGTCGACGTGAGTATGTAGCAGTCTCTATAAAGCGATGAAAATCTCTCCGTAGTGTAGTTCTCGGAATACCTAATGTTTCGGATACATAAACTTGACTTCTTCCGTCTTATAGCAATGCAATAATTTTCAACTTCGAAGATAAACAGCGACTACAGAAAACAACATAAACTTCAAAACTGTCAAAAATAATCAAATATGATCGCAATAAATATTTAAATTGAGACGCAATATGAACTGAACTTTTATTTTCGGAAATTTATAGAGTGGCCACTTTTTTTTGCCGGTCAGTGTACTATGGACTGATCGATGTGTCGGCCAAAATAATAATTGGAAGATGAAATCATTGTGTCACTATTTAATGTCAGCAAAGTTCTTTACTGAAGTAAATCAAAAATTTTTGGTATCTGGGCACAGCTTCTTACCCTGTGATGGGATGGGATGGGGAACATTAAAATAACAGAAGCACCTTGGATATAGGCCACAGCCAACGAACCAACTGTTCTGCAGATAAGATAAACACAACATCCTGCAAGCATGGCAGACATCACCTTTGCTAAAGAGACCAAGAGAACGAGCTACGGTCTGAAATACAGTTAACAGTTTAAAATCTTATTGAACCCTTGCCTCCAATATACAGAGAATCTTTAACTATTTCTGATAAGAAAAAAGCGAACTTTCTGAAAATGACTGAATGTTTAGAAGAACAATATAGATCATTTTATTGTGAATTACCTGCACATGCAACTTAATTTGATTTTGTTTTTCTGTTAAGTTTTAATGAGAATTTTTATTTACTTTTCATTTTTTCGTATTTTCAATTAACTGTTATGTTGGGACATTTTGAATGAGTCGATAATAAATTAATAATAACATAGGGAGATGACACCTCTTATTCCAATATGGCGAGTATTCAAGAACCTGTCCAAGTTCTAAAAAAGAGTGCTAAAGAAATGAATGAAATTAAACAAATTTGTATTGAAAATTATTCTATGAAAAAGCCTTTATGATATAAGCCCTGATATCATTTTATTGTAAAATTACAAGAAAAAAGTTAAGGCCCAAAAGAAAATTTGTTCCAAATCTTTTTTTTTTTTTTTAACTAATTTATTTTCTATAATTTATGTCTATAAATTTGTAGACAATTTAATTTGCTACAAATAATGTCTGAAAACATTTTTCAAAAGTTAAATACTAAAGAAACTTAAATATAATTTAATCAGTTTTATTTAATTATATTTCAGGTGATATTTGCGTTTGGAGATTGGTGTAAGTTAAAAAATAGAATAATAATAATAATAGTTTTAAATAACATTGCACAGACGCACTGATATCGCCGACGCAGTACATATTTCTTTGTCGATAAGAGTTTATAGATAACATGAATCATTTTTCAATTGTTAATACATTCATGTATAAGTACCTACGATAATATTATATTCCGTACCATTCCTATGATGATATATTCCATACCATACACTTGTTTAGCAGCTCTGATTGACACAATAGAGCAGTTAAATGTTATATATAAAGTTGTAATTGATATATTCGCTTGCTTGGTCCACTAGTAATAAAGTTATCAGAATTAAATGGCAAACCGGTCTTCATACATGGCTTTTACTTTAGCACATAATCTGACATAATGAGTAAAAAATGGAAAACAAGGAACAATTAAATTTCCGGTTTGGAAGTCATTACAATGTATTGTGATTTAATCCTATATAAACTCAATTTAAAGTGAAAAATTTCATAATAATTGTTTTTTCTTTTTTAGATTTTCTCAATTTGTGCATTTGCTACAATAACTGGATATACAGGATTTATTCAAAGTGATTGCCAAAATACGCTCACTAAGCACACATTCGTTTACCCATTTGAAGTAATTATCCAAGCAAATATATCAACAAATTGCAGTTTAAATATTGTGGGAGACTTCTCATCAGATGCCAAATTTTTTGTTACTACCGGTGTGTTGGCTATGTTATATTCATTAGCTATTATGGTTGTATATACTAAACTGGATAAAATGTATAAGAGTGACGCCAAGATCCCTTTAATTGTAAGTAGTTTTTGTTTTAATTTTTTATTCATAAATTATCAAAATATTATTTATACAACTCTACATGCCACTATGGATGTAGAGCCACAAGCTCTTCAAAATATGTAATATACTTTACATCATGTTTATATACATTTACAATATGTATTTATTTACAGTGCACAAACCTTGTAGGTCTAGGACACAAAGTTACATTTAAAATACTTTTTATTTTTCTCTAAAGTTCTTGACAATACTTCTTCTTCCATTCATTTGCTTGGCCTTAGCTACCAGGGCTATCCGGCCAGGATCTGTGTATTTATACTGAATGTTCAAGAGCCGTACCTAAGGTACATCTGGGCTTAAGCTCATAGCTCCTGAACCTGCAACAATAATTAAAGGAGAAAAAAAAAAACAAATTAAAGTCAAATGTTCAAAAGTTCTTTCACATAAGTTCTAAAGTTCTATTGTTCTAGTCCTCATATCAAACCGCACTAAGCACATGCAATCCAAGCAAGCAGATTAAATCTTATAATGTACATTAACGAACTACATTTGAGACCTTGTTGAGGCTAAAAACTTTTGCACTGCAAGCAGTGTCTTTGAGTTTAAGTTTTTGAACAACACATCAATGAATGTTGGAACACCTTGAAATTCACTTCTAAGTAACTGGGACTCCCTTTGATATCTAGTACATTCCAACAACACATGCTGTAAGGTGCCTAAACTGCCACATGGACACAGATTTGTATTGATCACTTTCAATCTAAATAAATGAACCAGAACACTGCAATGTCCACTTCTCATACGACACATTTGTGTAATTATGCCCTTCCCCAGGTTGGGAAATCTTGTAAACCAGGTCTTTTTATAGGTTCCATAGGTTTTCCTTATATTTAGTTTGAAAATCTTTAAAGGAAGCCTTTGGTTCTTCAGTAACAGGTAGTTTTCTTTCAAGTGTAGCTAAATAATCAGCTCTATCATTCCCCACTATCCCGGTGTGACTTGGAATCCATGGAAATCCATTTAATTTCTTGATTTTGTTCATTGAGTTGACTAAGTTTTTGTTTTAATTGAAGAGTTTGTGTGTCTGCTGCAGCCTTATAACTTAGTCTTGTAATTTTCTCCAGAGTACTTTTTGAATCACTACGAAGAAGGCTTTTTTCAAAATCATTCTGTTGAATTAAATCTAATGCCTTTTTTATCGCAAATCATTCTGCTGAACAAATTGAATTAGTGGATGGTAATCTTGCTGTTAATTCAATGCTTTCATTAAGGTATATACTAATGCCCACATTACCTTGTTCATCTTTGGATCCATCTGTAAAGATAAGTTTATATTCAGACCAGTTATCAAGGTACCATGACGCAAACTTGGCTTGGTTACCTTCTTTCCCTAGGTTGAGAGTTTCATAAACCATAGAAGAAATCTGAGAATCAAGCAGGAAGGAGTGACAAGGAAATAAGGATTTATGTGCCACCTCATGAATCTCATGAAGCATATTCTGGAAGGCAACCAGTATTGGTGGGAAGTATCTTCTTCTCCAAAAACTAAGTAATTCAGAAATGCTTTATAAAATTGCTCTATTGAAGAATATATTGGGTTGTCATATGCTACCACCTTTAATCTACATTTAGATGCTAGCCAAATCCTTCTAAGATCTAATGGTGTTTACCCACATTCTGACAAAATAATATGAACTGGAGAGGACCTCATAAATCCCCCGACCACTCTGGGAGCTCTATATTGAACTTTATCCAGTTTTGTAAGTAACGAACGAGCACAAACTCCAACAAAAATCGATCCATAATCAAGGTGTGGTCTAATATAGGCCTTATATAATATGAGTAAAGTGGCAAGATGTGCTCCCCACCATGTTTGACACAGGCACCGAATTATATTGACTCCAATGGATGCCCTCAACGTCATCATTTTAATTTGGCTTTTCCAAGAAAGGGAATTATCTAAAATAACTCATAGATGAGAAACTTCCTGTTTCCCATCGAGCAAGATGTTATTTACTAATATTTGAGTGTTCAGAGTGTTATTTCTATTTCTATATAAAAAAAATCGCTTGACTTTTACTAGATGACAAACATATTCCCATGATAAGAAGTTTTACAGATATATTCTCTACTGTGTCATTTAATTTTTCCACCACCTCCAACCAGCTGCAGCCAGAAAAATAAAGAGCAACATCATCTGCATATTGAGTCATTAGGACATCCTCAGACACACAAGATGATATTATGTTAATAACGATGTTGACATTACTTCTCCATCTTCTTCTGTCTTCCGCTTCTTTTTTCAGCTTAAGTTACCTATTTGCTTAAAGTCACTTTCAACCTCTTTCTATCCATCTTCCCCTTGGTCTTTCTTCTGCTTCATATGGGCCTCCAATGTAACGCTGTCTTTGGCATTCTTTGTGTATGCCCCAGCCATCCCATACTTTGTGCCTTACATATATTTAGTAATTTTAGGAATGAATGAATCTGAGTGTTACTAACCTCGTTTAGGCTTTGTGCCTCTTGTGTCCTCGGATTAACGCGTGGAGGTTAGGTGTGGCTATATCCTCACCTAGGATCAGTTATAATTGTGCAATGAGATTGAGACCCCACAGAAAACCAATCTACTCCCTGTCCTTGTAGAGTTCCTCAACTCATAAGAAGTTTATGGAAGTGCTCACAGATCGCCCCTCTCCATGGTCTTGACTTTTGGTTTTACCAGCTCTTGTAGATCTTGTTTCCCTGAAACTGCTTCCTTTTCTGAATGTGCACCTGAATGTGATACATTCGGGTGCCTGATCGATGTTCTATTTCGTATTCGTATTCCTTTAATAGTAAAGCCCATCTTGCTACTCTCGTAGTTAGATCTTTTTTGTCCATCGTCTTCTGGAAGGCTTGGCAATCTGTTACTATTTTGAATTTAGTACCTAATAAATAAGTACGGAACTTCTTTACTGCTTGGATGATAGCTAATACTTCCAATTCATAACTAGAGTATTTTTCCTCTCCTGGTGTTGTCTTTTTGCTCATATAATATATCGGATGAAATTTATTATCCAGATAAGATTTTTGCATCAGACAAGCTCCGTAGCCGTATTTGCTTGCTTTATCTAAAACTATTTTAAGTCTCTCTATTTCTTCTTGTTCGGTATTACTCAAAATTATGACGTCGTCAGTGTAATACATTACTATCTTCTTTCTAGTGAGTTTCCTAAAAATATGAGCGACGAATCTTTGAAAAACTGCTAGGCTGTTGCAGAATCCAAAAGGGCATTTTAGAAATTCGTATTGTCCATCGGGCGTCACAAAAGATGTATACTTACGACTTGCTTCTTCGACGGCTACGTGAAAAAATCCGTTTTTAAGATCTATAGTACTGAAATATTTAGCTCCTTGTAGGCTATCAGTTACATCTTCAACACGTTTGTTTAATTTCCTATAGTCACAGCAAATTCTGCTATTTCCGTCCTTTTTCTTTACCAATACAATCGGACTTGCAAAATCTGAACTGCTCTCTTGTATTATTCCTTCATCTAGCCAGGTTTGTATCTGTTCTCGTACGTCTTCTTTCTCAGATATTGACAATCTCCGTGGGCTTTGATATATTGGTTCCTCGTCTTTTAAAATGATCTTCATTTCAATTTCCGTTGAACATATTTTTCTTGGTTCATATTCCGTTATCATTCTTTCTACTTCTTTTCTGCATTGGTCGTCTTCAATGTGGCTTACTTCAATAATTTCCTCTTTTTGTCTAGTGATATTTTCATAAGAAAATTTTCGTCTTTTCTTCGTAATCTTATTTCACCATCCGTTATAACAACATTGGCTTTTCTAGTCAAATTATTTCCCACGATTGCCTTGAATCGAGATGCTTCAGTTGGTATAACATGCATTTTCAACTCTTTCTTCATCGTTAACATGTACAACTTAAGTAAAAGTACCAATTCCTCGTAAGTTTATAATTTCTGCGGTCAACTTAATGCCTTGAAAATGGTTTTCATACACGTCATGTCTGAGAACCGTTACTTCGCTTCCAGTATCAAATAAAGCTATCAGCTCTACACCGTTAATGTTGAGCTTAACTGCACTGCTGGGTATTACATCAATCGTAGATATAATTAACGACGTGCTAGGTTCCTCTGCGGCTTTGCTTGTGCTTAGCCTTGGCGTGTACATACTAGATGTGTGTCCAAATTTATTGCTACTGAAACATTTAAGTCCCTTGCTCCTATTAGGACAGTTCTTCGATATATAGCCTCTATCTCCACAATTGTAACAACACCCTGCTCTTCCATTTTTTGGTTTAAGGATTACTTTCCTTGCATCTCCTTTGGCGGCTACACCTCTATGGTTTCTAATATCTGGTACCTTTTCTCTCGTCATTGTTCGTTTCATACTTTCTTGTATCTTTTCATACATTTGTACCTTTTCTTTAAATTTCATGAAATTTTTTGCTCAATACAGTACTATTTTATTGCTAGTATCGTCGTGTATACCGTCAATAATATATTGAATAATCACGTCTTCTTCTATATTGGCTCTACTGCCTATTTCTCTCATATGCAGTACATATTCTTGCACAGACTCATCTCTCTTAAGTTTTCTATTCATTAACATCTTGTGAATTTCAGCGCTGCTAATTCTTTCTTCAAATTCCTCTATTAGCTTTTTCTTTAGCGCAGACCACGTCTTTATTCCTCTTTCCGATTGAACAAATAATTTGGTTAATCCTCGTAATAGTTTCTTTCCAAAAATTAGTTTCTGTAAATTATTCCACCATATAATCTCAGCTACTTCTTCAAAATCTTGGATCCACTTAGGTACGGGATATTCGTCTTTGCCATCGAAAGTTCTTATACTTTCTTCGACGTCCCTAAATGTCAGCGAAAATGATTCCGGCTTTCTTTTTCTTCGTGTTCCAGTAATGCTTTCTTTTACGTCGTCTGAATCATCACTCTCGTCCTGAAAATCTTCCTGAATTTCTTCGTTCGTTACATCATCATCGTCGTCGTTTTCTAAATTATCGTCGTTTTCGTCCATCTGTAGCTTTTAAGAACGCGCAAACGCGTTCGGTCACCTCGTCTTTCGAGCCAGTGTAGTTCAAATCAAGAATATTACAAATAGCAATCGAGTCTGATATCCCCACCTCAGATATGCTATCCAATTTATTCGCATACTCGTCAGAATCTTTACTTAAATTGAAACCATTAAATTTACCTAAAAGTGATCTATGTTTTCGAGGTACACCCTTATCCCCAAAAGCAATGTTATATAAAATTTTAATAGCAATTAAATTTCCAGTCTTTAAATTTTGCTGAATATTTTGAAAAGATGCTAACGTCGCCATGTTTGTAATTAAAATTAAGTTAGAACAACAACAAAAATAAACATGCAATAATTGTATTAAAATGTACCTATCTGATAATAAAATATAATTGTATAAACCACCCTGTAGAAGTAAAGACCGTTTAAAACCTTGTAACAAAAACAGTACAAATTATAGTAAAAACTTCAAATTAAAATAAAATTTTAAGTGATCAGCACAAAACTAACGACCAATAAATCAAAGTAATAATGTCCTTCAGTACTTTCTGTTATTACGTTACCACCCTGGAATGCTGGATCCTATCAAAATGTTTATAACTTCCGTTAAGCGTCTAGCGTCCTTGGCTCTTGGCATGCATTGACAGTAAAAAAATGAAACATCACAATACCTCGTTACGTCCTTAATTTTCTTATCGTCTTATTAATTTCTCATGTGGGTAGATCTCATCCCTTGGATTATTAATTGTTATTTTTATACCTTGTCTAATTTGTCGTCAGGTTAAAAATGAAATTTCGTCTCCATATAGTAAGATCGTCGTCCTAAAACAAATTCACTAAGGGCGTATCTTCATTTCATCATCTCGGGCGAGTCCCCAATTGTAGGTCTTGCTTTTATTTCGTCTTGCGACCTACACGTCCTCGTCTAATGATACTTTTTAGTGAATTGGTAGTAATCTTTATTGATAACAATTACACAAACTCGTTGGCTTTTGTTACTAGGCACAAACACGTCTTATGCAGCTGGTGGTGTAATTCGACTGACTGAATCAGTGAATCTTCATGCTATGGACGTTACGAGCGCATACGTAGGGTGTGGATATCTGCACGTATTAAGTATTTATTAATATTTTAATAATGCAATTTAATAAATTGTAAAATATCTATATATATATATATATATATATATATATATATATATATATATATATACATATATATATACATATATATATACATATATATAATATACATATATATATATATATACATATACATATATATATATACATATATATATATATATATATATATATACATATATATATATATATATATATATATATATATATATATATATATATATATATATATATATATACGGGTATATTGGGTTTAGTAGTCAATATATTGGCCTTTAAGTAAAACTCTTTTAGGTTTGCTAAGCTTTCGAGTTTATTTTACTCTTTTTCAAAACATACTAAAAATTTACATTAGAAAAATGAAGTTCTTATGTCTTCAATAGGCTAACCCGTGTGAGAATTGTTTTTTAAAATTAGCAAAATTTTACATTTTGTCATTATGTCATTAATATAATGACATTAAATTTGATTTACTTTTTTATTTCTGTCAAAACTTATTACTAAGGTTTCCATATCTCTTCTATTTTTTATATTTATTTTAGGTGAGTTTGACAGAGGAAGTGTCTATGTTTATGCAAACCTTCATTGCAAATTTTGATATAATATTACAGTTATTAAACAAGCAACAGAGTTTATGTTACTAAGTATTTAAGAAAGAAAAAATACAAATAAAAATAAATTTTATCTCATTTGAACTTGGAATAATCCCTTTCATATGCGTAACTTTTAAGAACTTTTATATTGTTATTCTTTTATTTAAAAGAAGATTACTGTATATAGCACTAAGATTTTCAATGTCTTCTCTTTTGTTTAAGGTGTTTTGTGTAGTTTTAATTAAACACATTTCTAGAAACAGTCTTTTGTTGTAATTTCTTTCCCTTCTCAATATTTCTGTTTGATCATAGTTAGGCGTATGGCCCATTGTAATACAATGTTCACTTAATGCACAGGCTTGTACTTTATTCAGATTAATATCACTCTTGTGAGATGTTAATCTTCCGGACAAATTTCTGGACGTTTCTCCAATATATATTCTATTACAATTATTACAGGGTAGAGAGTATACTACATTGGAGCTTTCTCTATTATTTAAGGGTGTTTTAAGTTTAGTATATAATTTCGATATTGTTTTTATATTTCTGGTTCCAATTTTGATATTAGGTACTTCTCTAAATGTATTTAGTAGTCTATTTGTTAAACCTGGAATATATGGTAAAGAGTGGTACAATGTATTTTGGTTGTTTGTTGAAACTTCTGTTTGATTTGTCCTGATGACTTGAGAGATACCAAAAATAAGTCTATTTAGAAGTTTCGCTGGGAAGGAATTTTCTAACATGATCGTTTTTAGTTTTTTAAGACCGGCTGTTTTATATTCAGGATGTGATAAACTTATAACTTTAATAACTGTAATATTATATCAAAATTTGCAATGAAGGTTTGCATAAACATAGACACTTCCTCTGTCAAACTCACCTAAAATAAATATAAAAAATAGAAGAGATATGGAAACCTTAGTAATAAGTTTTGACAGAAATAAAAAGTAAATCAAATTTAATGTCATTATGTTAATGACATAATGACAAAATGTAAAATTTTGCTAATTTTAAAAGACAATTCTCACAAGGGTAAGCCTATTGAAGACATAAGAACTTCATTTTTCTAATGTAAATTTTTTATGTTAATTTTTAGTATGTTTTGAAAAAGAGTAAAATAAACTGAAAGCTTAGCAAACCTAAAAGAGTTTTACTTAAAGGCCAATATATTGACTACTAAACCCAATATATCCGTATATATTACTCACATAGTCACTAAAGCCCTTTCTAAAAAGAATATATATATATATATATATATATATATATATATATATATACCGGGTGGTGAATCGTCAAACGGGCCATAGGAAACTTAATGGGAAATTTTAAATTGTTGAATTGCTGCTTCCCTAATTATTTTAGATCAAAAGTCATAAAAAACTATTTGTAGAGGACTAAAATCTGAATTAAAAACAAATGTTAAAACCGTTCTACGAATCAAATGTACTTCAAAATTTTGCAAAAATATAATAGATTTTTCAGAGCACCCCTAAAAGTTAGGCCACACGTAATACAAGAATATATAACGTGTGTGTTTTATCATATTGATGTCAGATGTTTGACAATTTGAATTGTCATTTTTTTTATTTTATGATTAAATTATAAACAATGAATTTTACTAAATACTACTACTACTGAACAATATTACTTTGTGAACAAATAAATTATATTGTTTACAAATCGATCAATATAATAAAATGTACTCAGTTGACGAAAAATCGCATAATGTTGTATTCAGGCAATAGCGCGAACCTTTTCCTGTCACTACCGGATCTTTATTTAACGTAAGATATTCTAATACACTAAAATTTAATTCCATGTTAAGTTACACAACAATTCAATGAATTCCAATATACTGTTACTGTGATCTTTATTCCTAATAATAATATATGATAATTTCTAAGCATAAAACTATAATAAATGTTATAATAAAACATGAATAAAACATTTTTATTATTGCTCTTTTCTCCTTAACTGAGTATATTTTTTAATCAACTTAATTTTTCTTTTAAATAATAAATCACAAAATTTTGGCCATTTAAATCATAGATAAATATAATATAGTTGATTTAAATATTGTCAAATATTAGAAACGTCAATATGACAAAACGCAACACGTAATACACATTTTTTTCACGGCGTCTGGCCTGACTTTTAGGGGTGGCCTGAAAAATGTATTATATTTTAGCAAAATTTTGGAATACGTTTAAGTCGTAGAACAATTTTAACAATTGTTTTCGATACATATTTGAGTCCTCTACAAATAGTTTCCCATGACTTTTGGTGTAAAATAATTAGGGAAGCAAGAATTCAACAATTTAGAATTTTCCATTGAGTTTCCTATGGCCGTTCACCACCCTGTATATATTTTCCTATTTTTGCATTAATTTCCCCAGAACTATCTTCCATGTCACCTTTTATTATTTTATTGTGCTTATACTTAATATATTTAGTTTATTAAGTTTACTATCAGATTGTCTATTTTACAGCAATAATTTCAGAAAAACACATCATTGACTAACCTGAATTATTTTTAGGATTTTGTCATCACTGTTATTTTCGCAGTTTTATGGCTGTCTAGTAGTGCAGCTTGGGCTAATGGATTAACTGGACTGAAAACTGATACAACTGTAGTATCGAACAAAAACAACTGTGCACATTGCAACTTATCGACAAGTAGCTACTCCACACTTAACATATCTGTGGTAAGTTTAAAATATAATAATATTTTTCGTGATATTCCGATTACTGTAGCTTCAGCACAATTATCTTACTAATTTTTATTCAATCACAAGGTCGAGTCTTAATCTCTTATCCTGTTTCTCGGATTGTTCTGAGGACTTAAATATAGCCTTTTTATCATTCTGTTACTACCTATGATTCGAAAAATCCGAAAACAGACTTATATATTAACATTTATAGTTTTGTCTTCCTTTTATTGACTATAAATACCTGATAAATTCATACAAGGCTCTTCTTACAAGTCTCTCTGATGACGGGTAGACCCAGAAATACGTGTTAAAGAATGGTAAGAGAGTCAAATTAAATCAAAACGCAACCGTTTACATATATTTTCTCGCGTTTCCATAATTTAGAACTTGTATTCTTGTATTACTTCCGTAATTTGTAGGTTTACTTTTTCTTGATGTGTCTTACTCGTTTCCTTTTTGAAGCTACAGTTTACAAAAGTATGAGCTGCTTTCGCTTGCAACAATTCAGGCGGTAGATAGGTCTCCTACTTCTATGCAGAGGATACAATTTTTTTTGTTTCAGATCTTCGGATTTTTAAATTTCTTCTTATGGGCATCAGATTTATGGTTTCTTTATAAGGAGACATCTTGGTTCCAAGGAAATCAAAGACAGACTGGTGATGGAGTGTAAAAAATGTGCACTGTGTACAATTTGTTCAAATTGAACTAGTCATTCTGCACAACATTGTTGCTGCTAAATTTCAAATTATTTTACTTTCATTTGTACAAATCAGTATTTTTGAATGTTTTGTATATCAATATTTTGTATTTACAGCTACAGGGTGTCATTTGACATTATTAAAACATGTACAATAAAAACATAAACATTTTCGAGGCACATTACTAAAATGTAAATGAGATAAAATTATGTATGTTTATAATTATATTAGTAAAATTATATATTTTCTAGACATTATACTTTTTGTTAATATAATCACAGATCAACATTTACTTTCCTATAAGCGTTTTTAAAAGTGTTTCCCTGTTGCTCTTATGTATGTACACTATTTTTACAATCACAAGCAGGAACAGACACTAGTTTGTAAACAATTGCAAATACAATAGCGGTAAAAATCTAATTCATTTCCGTATAATTCTTAAAGTGTAGAAAATAATTGTCTAGAATTTCAGTAATTACAAGTTAAAATAAAAAAAATATGTGTTTGTATCGTTGGCTAAATTGTTACGTGTCTTAATACCTTGGTTGCATTGTTGGTGTATTGCAAACTCGTGCTGATCGGAAATGCGTGTGATTCTTGTTATGAGTTTTGCCTTATCTATTGCTGCCCTATAAATGGATGTTCATGGATTGGAACATGATATTCTTTATCATCCTTTGTTGTCATTCGACATGTTCCTTCCTTCATCTTTCTAATCTAATAAAAAAACTAAAAACTTTCAAAACATAAAAAAAAATAAGCAAAAATTCGATATAAAATTCTTACTCAACAAGCTGCAAAGATCTAAAAAATATATCCTAGCTGAACTGGTAGAAATTAGTGTGGTGTAGATTTCCACACTGCAACCTAAAAGATCTTTTGTGTATGAATATTGATTTACAAAGCTCAACAGGCCTTGAAGGTCCAGGCCTAAAATACAATTATTCTAATGCTTATACAGTATTGGAAGATTCAAAACGGAACATACGAATTATTAATACAATTTTTAAGATCCCCTGACCTGCAATTACCCAGTGTAAATTTCAATATAACGTCGCGATGTCTTATAATTAATTCATTTGTTCGACTGGATTGCTACTCCTTGGCGATTTCTAGCAGCGTATTCGACAGGTGGACGTCGACACTGTTGTCTATCGTCCACTGATTTTCTGTGTTTTTGTGCAGATAATAACAATGTTTTATTAATAACAATTTTTTATTACAAAATATATTATATTACAAAACTGTATATTACAAAACTTGTATCAAGTGGGGTGGCTTCTTTTCCAATCATTCTCCTTGCCTACTAAATTGACATACTGTTCTCCATTCACCTATATTTGTTGCTCTTTGGCTTGTCTTGGTTTATTTCTAGATCAAAATAGTTTGCCTCCTTTTCTAATCTCTTTATAACATTTCTTAATTCTTTTCTGGTTTTTGTTAGAATAGTAAGATCATCAGCGAAGGTCAAACATTGACGTTTATTGTTAAAGATGGATCCAACCGTTTTAACTCTGCTATTTCTGATTATTGTTTCCAATACCAAATTAAAAAGCACCGTGGATAACGGATCTCCCTGTGTAACACCTCCGTTCACTTCAAATTCGTCCGATGAGAATCCTCTCCATACTTCATGATTTTATGTGCTATTCAGAGTAATTCTTAATAACTTAACCTAGCCACTTTTGCGGGTCGGACGATCTCATAAACTCAAATCGATCGGACAGAATTATCTGGCACGTAACGTTGGCCTGTTGACAATACATAGCATTGGTGTCCACATCATCCAATTTAGGCCAAAAGACATTGTTAATCATTGACCTATAGCATTCTTCATTGACGGTGGTGTCCACAACAAACAGTAATTTTTTTAGGATACATTGAATGTTCTTGCAGTTTATCTGGAGTGGTATAGTCCCAAAATCGAGAACTCTGTTAGTTGATATACCCATTCATCTTGAAGAGGCTCATGGCTTAAGATGATTTTTCAATAAAAATTCTTTATCCTTTTTCATAGTTACAAAACCCATTCTGCGAAAACACGTTGTTATCCATGGTCGTTTCCCTTCAGCCCTTGGTATTTAGAGATGCAGGCCAAGTCATGACGCAAAATTCGCTGTTGTGGTCTGTGAAAGGCTGAGTTCTTGTGAGCGATGTAAAATCGACTGCCTCGGATTTTCCTGCACACTCTCACGGACAGCGGCGATGTTTTCAGTAGATCTGGAGTTTCTTTGAAGTACTGTGTTACTTTGTTGTTTACTAATCCGGTGTATACTTTTTTTTACCGTCCACACTCTGCCAAGGCGCTCGGTGCTTCATACAATTTAGTCCTTCTTATCATACGCTTTTTTAAAATATATGAATAGAGATGAAGGGTTAACTTATGTTTATAGTAGGTAGTCTGGATTTCTTTTAGTGTAACAATCGGATGTGTCAGTGATCTACTAACTCTATAACCAGCCTGATACTCACCTAGTTTATCTTCAGCAAATCTGTTGAGTATCTCTTTTAACATCCAGGCTAATACATTGTTACAAGTATCCAACAGAGCAACACCTGTAATTTTCACATGCCAATCGTTTTTGTATATGAGCTATAAAGCTTTGGTGAATGATCTTTTGTGTATACCCTACATATACATTTAGACCAACAGATCTTGGCTTCCAAGAAATATTCTTGTCGGAGAGACATTTTATGTTTACATCCAAATTGCAAAAAAATCTATTCCAGGAATTTATGGCAGTTTCCCTGCAGTTTCAAATAATATGTTCGGCTGTTTCCATCTCTGAATGTTGCTCTGTCTAATTTGGAAAGTTTACAGAGATTCTGAGTGAGGAGTGTCTAATGAAAGTACCTCTAGCCAGAGTTTTCTTCTGAATCCCTAAGAGTATTTTTACTTAGCAAGCATAAGTTTAATAACCTCCTTGCTGGTCTTTGGTCTGGAATACTTCCCAGTATGCTACAATAAGTTCCATTTTCGTCCATCCTCCTCTATATGGCTATTTGGAACATCTCAAAATGGTTCTAGTCTGATAAAAGGAGTGTTAGCTCCTTTTGTAAGAAAATCAACCATTATGCTCTGGCACCCATAGCAAGTTACTTGTTGTGGTACACAGTTGCTTAAGAAACCATTTGTAGTTCCAAACTGTTATTGACTCATAGATTGTTCAGTGTAGCTTGACCGTCGTGGGGCAAGTATTTTGTCTAAATTGGGGCGTTAGTCAGGTATTCTTGTATTTTCAAGGACTATTCACAGTTTGATGTTAGGGCCAGTAACCCCTATATACTTGTTACTTTTTTGGTGATGTGTGCGAGATGCTCATTCCACGCAAGTTGCCTGTCACGTATAACTCTGAGATACTTAACCTTTTCTGAGAATAATAGCATTGTTACATTCATGGTCTGGTGTTGAATTTTTATTTTTCTCCTATATGTGGATAACACATCTTTCTAACAGCAGGTATATACTAAGTTTAAGGCCCGCTCCTTGCATACGATCAGCAATAATACTGCCACTGCCATGTTTACATCTAACCACACTCTATTGACCAGTCAGTAGAAGTCAGACAACCCTGGGGACAATTTTTTACTACCCTTCTAGTGATCGACTTATTTCCGAGGTCGGTAAGATAATAGAAGGTGGTGTAACTTTTCCTCTTACAGTAGCGTTAATAAACTCCAATGAGGTGTTCACAAATGTTGCTCAATGTCTATGAAGGCACATAAAGCCACTTCTGGTAAGATGACCTTTTCTATACGTTAACAAAACAATTCAAGGTATATATGGGGGATTTTTATAGTTCGTGAAGTGGTGTACTTCACAAAGTAAAGGGCATTTATGTCTTCTAGATATCTGTCATAGATAGATAGATGTCTGTCATAATATGCCAGATATTATCGGCTAAATGTGTTAACCTTCTATCTCCAGTTAACATAATTTTACAGGAGAAACGAAAAAATTAAAAGAATTATCATAAGCACAAAATTGAAATAACTTTTGGCTTTTAGAAATAAACGCCGTTCTTCTGGAGATAACACTCTACGTTTCGACTGTATTTTATTTTCTTCAAAATTACTAATTTTGCTTTAAAGTACCGCTTTACTACACTACTATAAGAAATAGGTACTTATATACAACTACTACACCACAAAAATGACGAGGGTTGTACAACAGACGAAACAATCAAACACAAATTATTTAACAGCCAATGCTAAACAAGTATAAACACTGCATTAATTGTAATTGTAAAAATCCTTCGCATGTTCGCAATTTTTTTTGATATTATTGATTATTTGAACATCGTCTTTCAAACCCTCTATGAACAAAACAAATAAAAAATGTATTAAAGCACCTAGCAAATGAATATCTAAATAACAATTATATTCATTTTGGTTTTGGTTTATTAGCTACTTAATTTGATGGGAATACATCACAATTTTAATTAAACATACTTTACATTTGACCTTTCGATTTCCACCTCGGAAATTGTTTTCAAGATATAAATTAGTTTGTTCTGCGACTTTCATATAAATAATATGTCGTTAAATCCCATTAAATCTAGTAATTAATAAAAAAAGGCTACAAAAAAGTAGTTTCAGAACCATATATTTTTTTATTAAAAGTAATCACAGATATTAGCACCGCTTCCTAAAAGTTTAAACTAAATTATACTAAAATTCATTTACATAGTAGCATGGTAAGTGTTGCTAATAGTGTTCTTACATTACAACTTGTAGAAAGTTGAGACATCAAATATTAGGTTTGAATAACAGTATTTTATGTAGATCTGTATAGTGTAAAAATACGTAATTCGAAGCACCAGCGGTTCTACTATTAGGTCATTAGGATGGTGACCCCCTTAGGGTAATTTTTTAAAGGTATGTGAAAATTATATTAGTTTTTAGCAGTTCAATAATGTGTTATGCAACCACAATTGGAGTTTATTTTTTCTAATTTAGCGTCACGCTAGTGAAAATTGTTTGAAGTGGGGTTCATCCAGAATTTGCCACACTCTTAATAACGTGAATATCAAAGATTAGCTTATACGATATTTTCGATTAAATGCATAAATATAACGCGCTGCTTTACCCTATATTAAGGTCAGTCTCTCTTAAGCTATGGTTTGTTAGAACAGTGAGAGACGCATAACTCACAGTCAGTCGAACACCTCGCACGTTCGTCAAAATCAAAGAAATGGTTCTCTATGATAATGGTTTGTTTGGTTCTGC